ACTTTTTTACAACATTTTTATATTTACATTACAACATTTACATTTTACATTCAGTCTGTCTGAATTTTATGCATTTCCATTTGCTGATATATTTTTTACCACCAAATAATGGTGTCACTCTTAATTGTCAAGAAACAAAGTTTTCTAAAAGACCAAAAGAAACTATTGCAATAATGACAAGACAAAGTATTTCAACAGCCTGAATAGAAATTTAAAAATGTGTTTCTCTTCAAAAAGAGGAAAAAAACTTTGGGCTTTGAGGTATCATGTGAAAGTAGACAATACCAATCAAAATATATTAACTGAACTCTTTTTTACAGTAATGCATGAATAACTTCCTAGATGTAAAATACTTTCTATATAGCTTTTATTGCTGAAATGAGGAATATTGCATTTGTCTCAGTAATTCTTTCGTTCTACATGCAACACATACTGAAAGGTTATTAACCAAAGTCTAAACATCCAAAGAAACAAGACAAATGTCAGCAATAAATACATAGAATTGTGCAGCCAATACTGTACTGTAATACAGCCATTTATAAAGAGATTTCATGACTGTTTAATTGCTCCAATAATAAAACTAATATCTGTTTACTAGATATATGTAGCAACCTCTCTCTGTATTAAAGAGAGAATCATAGAACCAGCAAGATTGGAGGAGACCTCTAAGATCTTCGAGTCCAACCATGAACCTGTCACTGCTGGAACCCCCAAACCCTAACCCAGATCCTCCAGTGCCACATCAGACACCTCTGAAACACCTCCAGGGATGGTGACTGCACCACCTCCCTGGGCAATATCCCAGTGCTGAACACCACAACAGGGAAAACATTTCTCCTCACATCCAATCTGACTCTGCCCTGGCTCAGCTCAAGGCCATTCCCTCTCTCCTCTCCCTCAGCCCTGGCAGGACACACATCCCACACCTCTCTCCAGCCCTGGCAGGAGTTGCAGAGAGCCAGGAGGTCACCCCTGAGCCTCTTCTCAGGCTAGCCAAACCCAAAAGACAAATGTAAATACCTGTCACATGTTACCAGGTGATGTCCCTAACACAGAAACATTTGCATGTGATGTAGAGATTGTCTCCGGGGAAGTAAAATGACAATTAATTTATATAAAGATGACAAGAGACTCAATCCATGGAGTAGCAAAATGACAACAGCATTGTCTTCTCAGATCCCAGATTCATCAGTGCTCACCTGATACCTGAGAGTGACAATCCAGAAGATGACAAAATCTATTTCTTCTTCCGCGAAAACGCCATTGATGGAGAGCACACTGGGAAAGCTACTCATGCCAGGATAGGGCAGATCTGCAAGGTAAGATGATGACTTCATGGGAGATTGAGTGCACTTGCAGGATGCTTTGCAAGCAGTTTTAGCCCCTTTGCATGCGTTTTCTTGCCTGTGAATTATTCAGTATTAACGTTGGCATGTTAGTAAAGCAGGGATCATCCCAAGGGAAAAATAGAGGATAACACACTGAAAGGAATACTATTCAGTTCTTCATTTTCTGGGGAAACTTCACAAGCTACAGTGTTTTGTTTCAAAAGTCATAGGCATCTTCTGAGGCTTAGAATGTGTCTGCATAAGAGAGTCTTTTGTAGGAAATATGAGAATTCCAGGTAGGCTAAAAACATGTGAAGAATTTGCCTTTTGAATGTTAATACCTTTCCATTCCCACATTGGTGAAAATCTTTAAAACAGAGGCAGAGGAAGATTTGACAAAGCAGTTCTTTAAGGTTAGCTGTAGAAATGGGCAACCAATCCAAACACCCTTGGTGACTACAGAACGAGTTGTTCAGCCACAGGATGAACATCCAGATGGTTTTCTCACAGACTTTTCAAAGAGTTCTACAAACGAAATGATACTGAAAAATGTTGTAGCTTTGGCAACTATGATGTTTACAGTCAAATTTCATGTTAATCCATAAGCACAGTTTGTATTTCTTCCTCAAATTCAGAGGTAGCTGCTTGAAATCCAATTACCCCATAAGGATGAAGTCCTTGGGGCCCTTTATTCCTATGTTTTGCAGCTGTACAACTGATCCCACTGTTCTGGCATTTTTATCTACTTTGTTCCATTACAACTTGCCTTTCTACTTTGTTGCTTCCAGTTAAGCATAATAAAAACCCCTCAGCTTTTCCAGGACGTGGCAGACTGGGAGCTCTGCAGTAAAATACTCTGCCTGTCTCTCTTTTACCAATGCAATATTACCATATCCAATATTACAGTGTTATATTACAATATATAAAGAGGTTTGAGTTGGGTGTTTTTTTTTAGTTTTTAAATTATTTGCTGCTATGAAACACAATACAATGTAAAGTCAAAGAAATTCAGTTAGTGTCTTTGCAACATCCTAATGCTTTTGTACGTGGTGGGTGAATTCTCTACGTAGCCTCTCGCTGTGTTTTTTCAGTGTTCTGTTGATACTCCAAACAGACTGTTACAAGATATTAAACCAAAATACTTTTGTTGTTAGAATGACTTTGGTGGACACAGGAGCCTTGTTAACAAATGGACAACTTTCCTCAAAGCACGTCTGATTTGCTCTGTGCCAGGACCCAATGGCATTGACACACACTTTGACGAGCTACGTAAGTGGCAGAAATGGCTTTGAATACAGAACTGTTTTCAGGAATTCTTCTTCTTATATTCCTAACTTAATTTTCTTTTCTTTTCCTTGTTATTCTTACAGAGGATGTGTTCCTAATGAACTCAAAAGACCCTAAAAATCCAATAGTCTATGGAGTGTTTACAACTTCCAGGTATGGAGTGTATCATTTTACGTGCATGGAAACCTGGGTGGCTGCTTGTTTTAAAGAGGTCTCTTTGTTAAAAATGTTTTTTAAGGGGCACAAAATTTTCTTAACCTTTGAACTGAGAAGTCAGCAGCAGTCAGAAGTAATGAGTTAGGTTTCTTTCTTGTGAGCGATGTACATCATCACTCTGAAGCTGGAAAACACAAAGACTATCAGTTTCTCAGGCAGTTCTTGCCATCAAATTGGCTTTTTATAGTAGGGATAGGAATTTCTCCTCTTTCCACACAGATTTGGAAAAAGAGCACAGGCATAAATGAGCTTGTTTGGGCACAGTGTGAAATAGGAAATCGGTGGGGTGAGAAATTGGCTACTCGAGGAGATACTGGTGAAAAATATTGCAGAAATCTGGAAAGTTTAATGATCTTTCACAAGTTCTGTTATTGAGTCACATATAACTGTGACTAGAATGTTTTTGTTTCATTGTGCTTTCACCAAGAGCAAAATATACTTGTAGCTTTAGCCCGGGGAAGGTTTGCAGTATTGGTTGTATTGCCACATATATCTGTGAAGAAGTTTTAGTTTCTAAAATGAAAAAGCATTTCTAGTGATAATCAAGCATAGAAAAGGAAGATTCACAAGTCCTTACTGTCTTCTGTAAGAAATCTCAAGGTAAGAAACAACACTGAAGTTTGCACAACACTGAAGTTTTCACATGTGCTGCCCAAGTGAAGGAAGAGACTGCTAAAGAAAGGAGAAAAATGTGAAGTATAGGAAAGAATTGAATAGTTCTCCAGGGACAGCCCTGTTGAAGTTTACTCAAATTGGGGCTTTGGCCTTCTGGGGACAATATGTTTGAAATAGTGGAATAGCAGCCATCTGCTTAGGAAAATGGGAGATATTATCAGTTCTGCTGAACTTTCACAGGAGGTGAGTGAGGATTGCTCTGGGAGCATGTCAGAGCTTTGAGAATCAGCACATGCAATGGATTAGAAAGCACCAAGCTGCTATTCCCATAGCTCTACCACTTGATTAAACTGACTGATAACTTACAGAACCTGATTTGATGTCTTCTCCCCTCATTTTCAGCAACATCTTCAAGGGCTCAGCAGTGTGTATGTACAGCATGACTGATGTCAGGAGAGTATTTCTTGGTCCCTATGCCCACAGGGATGGCCCCAACTACCAGTGGGTTCCCTACCAAGGGAGAGTGCCATATCCACGGCCAGGAACTGTGAGTACCCTAAGGAATACAGTAATCTAAACTGGAAAAACAGGCCAGGCCAGGAACTGTGAGTACCCTAAGGAATACGGCAATCTAAACTGGAAAAAGTATGGAAAATATTTTCACACATTATACTGTCGTAGAGCTGAGATCCAGGAAAGAAACTGAAACAGATAACAAAGTGTGGCAGAAGGGAAAACTAACAGCTCCTCCAGGTTCAAAATGTACTGATTTTCTGGTAACATAAGAAACAGCATCATAGGAACTGTGAGTACCCTAAGGAATACGGCAATCTAAACTGGAAAAAGTATGGAAAATATTTTCACACATTATACTGTCGTAGAGCTGAGATCCAGGAAAGAAACTGAAACAGATAACAAAGTGTGGCAGAAGGGAAAACTAACAGCTCCTCCAGGTTCAAAATGTACTGATTTTCTGGTAACATAAGAAACAGCATCATTTGGATTTTAATTTTGGCATCAATGTTAACAACTTCAGAAGAAATTTGAGCAATGGCTGGAGAACTGTACTGAAAGTCAAATGTTTAATAAATTATGGTGCATTATCCTTTCCTTGGAATTTGTTTTTGTTCCAAATACTGACTGAGCCATTCTTAGTGAGAATGAACAGAAAACAGAGCATCTGCCTGGCTGTTAAGAAACTTTCAGTCTTTCCCAACATTAAATCTAGTACAGCGAGACAGATATTTCTGCAGTGGATGGTAGAGTGACTAGAATAATTTCTGACTTCCACTGGTGTTTTTAAAAATCTCTGCTTCCACCTGATTCTGGGTCTAATCTATGAATGAATAAAGTAGCAGTGTATATAAGACTTCCATAGTTACAATTTTGAACTGATATCATCATGTTCTAGAAATATGTAATCACAGAATCATAAAATCATCGAGGTTGGAGAAGACCTCTAAGATCATTCATTGAGTCCAACCATCATCTGCCACTCTGCTGTACTTGCCAGTAGTCTAAGAAGATGGGACAGTTATGAAACAAGCATTAATTGTACATATTGGGGTCTCTCTTTAGCTTGTATAAATTAACTTGGCCCATTTATGTTCTGAACTCTCATTGCAGAAGATTATACGTATGCACATGAAGATATGAGGACTAGAGGGAATAGTCATAAGCTGAGACAAGGGAGAGTCAGGTTAGGTGTTAGGAAAAACTTTTTCCCCTGTGAGGGTGTTTAGGCACTGGAATATTGCCCAGGGAGGTGGTGCAGTCACCATCCCTGGAGGTGTTTCAGAGGTGTCTGATGTGGCACTGGAGGATCTGGGTTAGGGTTTGGGGGTTCCAGCAGTGACAGGTTCATGGTTGGACTCCATTAACACTCCAGTGTTAATTCTGATATATCAGAGGGGTTATTTTTTGGAAGTTGTATAGTTTTACATCTCTGTGGAAAAGATGAATGAGTAGATAACCTTGGTATTTGTTGCATTAGCTATTGTCACCTTCTTTTCAGTCTGACAGACTTAGTGTTCATTATTCTGCTTATTTATAGTCCTCTTTGATTCCACTATTGATTAACCTTTCTAAACAAAACCAAATAAGAGATGTTATGTAGAACTACAGGCAGAGAAGAATGTTACACATTTCTACCACAGAACAGAGTGAGATGAAGAACTGAGTGCTGCCCAGAGGCTCTGATACATTCCTTCCTCCACAGCAATCAGGTGTAGTTCTACTGAGTTTCTGAATGCTCAAATATTGGCCCATGGGACAGGCAACACAGGTCTGCACACCTCAGAGCTTGGGGGTCATTGCAAGGCTTCTCTGAGGGTCTTAATCTGATATCTATATGGGAAAAGAATAACTTGATCAAATTCCCCAGAACCAGCATAAAAACAGGGACCTGAATTCAGCCCCTAAGTGGCAAAGTGACCTAAGCCACCAGAGCCTTTGCCAAAGTAAGGAGATGCAGTTAGGTTACATATATTTTACTTTCTAGCTACTGTCTCAGAATGGATTTTACCCTTACAATTTCACTGTAAAATGCCTTTATTAAGATTTGCAAAGTTCAGATTCCACTGTAAGCAGTTTTCTTGCCTAAGAGCAAACATGATCCCAGATTTTACAATTCTACATAGCTCTGCAGTCACATCCCATAGTGCAGAAAGCTGTGACACTGTAAATTATGTTAGAGTGGCTGAAGCCACCAGTTTCTCCTAGCCCAATGTCAGTGACTCATCCTGGGTTCTGCCACTTTGAGAAAAGATGAGGTTTTTTTCCCCCCTGACAGTTGCTAAAATCATTCTATTGTATTAGTAGGATAAAACTGAATTTTATAATGAGATACATTTCTGGCTGCAAAGAAGCTTTTTGTTTTTGAAGTGATAGAGTTGGGTGTGTTTTCAATGCTTTGAAGACCTGTTGAGAATAAAGAAGAACTATTTTTGAAGTTCCTTTAGATGTCAGACCTGTGGATTCCTTTTCCAAGGGAGAAAAAACCCTGAGCTTCTCACAGTAATTTGTTTCCAGGTTGCACTGCAGTTAAATAGTGCTGCATTACCTCAGGAATTTAATAGGTGAGGTGCCAGTAAACTCCTTGAGCATCTGGGGCCTTGCCCAGTGTGAGGAAAGGAAAAGGAAAGTAAATGGTTCTTCTGAAAAGTCAGAAAATTTGTAAACAATTCTACATCAGCTTCACATTTCACAAAGAAGTTGCCAGAACTTTTCCTGAGAGATCTGGAGAACTTTCTTTTTTAAAAACAAACAAACAAACAAACACTTTTTATCTGCATTTGGGCAGGTGGAAGGATTTTTGTCAAGACCTCATCTTACATGAGGTACCTCATCCTGAATTCTTACCTGACTTTCTGTCAGTTCAGCTACAGAGATCAGGATTTCCCTTCTTCATGGTACCAAGAGTCCATCTTCAGTTATGACCAATGTACATTTTCTTCCTGCCAAATGTAGGTATTGATTTGTGCTGTTGGATTCCCTAACAAGGCCAGTTGGGTGATAGCCTAGTTCCCTCCTCCTGACTGATCAAACCCCCTGACATTGCATATTGGGGACCAACAACTGGAAGTGAATGTAAAACTCAGGAGATCTACTTGAATTGAAGATCAAATTCATTTCTCCAGACTTTCTCTGGGTATTTGTGTTCATGCCTGTATTTTTGGCATGTGAAAACCTATTTCTTTGCTATCCATGGGATTGATTTGGTATAGAAACACCAATTCTGATGGAGCACCTTGCCAGTTAGCTAGGCCTAGACCTGCTAATACCAAAACCAGTCCTGTCATTAGCACCACGAATAATGTCTCTGTTGTCTCCTGGTTTTGTGGCCACAGCATGAAATATGTCAGGATTTTCCTCCTCAGGACAACTAGTCTAGTCTAGGCTTTAGTCTAGTCTGGTCTAGTCTATTCTGTTTCTGAGTTGATATTTGCCTGTGAACGATTTGGACTATGGATGGGCTAAATTTCACCTATTTATGGTGCCCATTTTACTCACTGAAATGGGAGGGATCTATAGCAGTGGCAGTTTCCTAAAGTAGAGTGGGATGAACATGAGCCACAGCCTCGTCCAGTAATAAATGTAAAGACACAAGTTTGCAGGAAATTTTTCTTCTCAGAAAAGCTAAGGATCCAAGAAGCAATCTGGGTCTCAGAGTTGAGAGTCTTATTTAAGAACACAGAGTTATGACACTAATTCTAGTTTTATGATTTTTCAGCATAAAATATATCTTGGTCCATAGAATCATCGAACATGAGCCACAGCCTCGTCCAGTAATAAATGTAAAGACACAAGTTTGCAGGAAATTTTTCTTCTCAGAAAAGCTAAGGATCCAAGAAGCAATCTGGGTCTCAGAGTTGAGAGTCTTATTTAAGAACACAGAGTTATGACACTAATTCTAGTTTTATGATTTTTCAGCATAAAATATATCTTGGTCCATAGAATCATCGAGTAGAATCATATCCTGAGTTGAGTTGGAAGGGATCCACAAGGAACATTGAGTCCAACTCCTGACCCTGCCCAGAACAGCCCCAATAATCACACCATGTGCCTGAGAGTGTTGTCCAAGTGCTTCCTGAACTCTGGCAGGCTTGGTGCCATGGCCACTTCCCTGGGGAGCCTGTTCCACATTGCTGCAAGTAAAATCCTTTGTTAGAAAATGAGCCAGAAAGTAAATATTCAAGCAATCGAAACACAGCTGAAATTCATTTGTTTAAACTTGGAATGAATATTCATTTTGAATTTTTTTCAGTGTTTGCCCAGCTGCAATTAACAATACTTAGTTCTTGGGTACTGATTTTTATCCTTAGAGCACTTTACATATATTATCTAATTAATTATTATCTAATTAATCCGAGTCATTAGAACTGAACTGCAGTTGGAATGTTAATCGAGATGTAAAGCAAACTTAAAATTGAAGTGCAGAATTTGAGACACAGGTTTTGAGGCAGAAAGTGGTTTGGCCAATATTGATAAAATGTCCATCTGATTTTGCTCTATTCCCCTTGTAATATTCTTGTATCTTGGTGGATTCCCCATCCCTGGAGGTTTTCAAGCTGAGACTGGATGTGGCACTTAGTGCCATGGGCTAGTGACCACGGTAGGGTTGGACTTGATGATCTTGGAGGTCTTTTCCAACCTGGTTGATTCTATGATTCTGTGAAGATCACAAGAACATATCTGTTGACACAATAAAGTAGATAACTAACTTGCTTTCTGCTTTTTCTGCTCCACATGCATTAATCAAATATTCTCCCTCCTTCCCTTCCTCCCTTCCATACCCTGTAATGGAACAGAATTCAGGAATTTGCTTACTAATATGCCAACAAGGGACAATTTACAGTTTGTCCATGCTGGAAGTGTCCCTTTGCTGAGCATAACAACTACTCCTTTTGACAACATTGATTTTTAAATTTCATTTCTGATGAATTATTAATCATTTGGATCAAGGTGATAGCAAAGACAATTGATTTCTTCTGCTGAGCATCATGCAAGGTCTGGATTCTTGGTAAATGAGATGTTGTCCTCTAGGTTTTTAATGTAATTGGAAGATATTCTATTCATGGGTCTAAAGGAAAAATTATCTAGGGGATTTTAACACGAGTTGTTTATATTTTTGGTTCAAGTACTGCAACATTTTATTGTCAGCTGTGTTTGAGAGTTTTATATGTCTTAAAAAGTTGTCTGGACAGATCAGCAGGGGAGGTCACAAAGTTCTCTGATGAGTGTCTTTGGGCTGGTGCTTTAATGCCATCGTGGCTTATTTTCTTCACCCTTTCAACACTACTAATACATTGCTAATGCTTATGTTAATGTAAGCTCTAATTGTTCATACAATGCTTCACAATTCTACACAAGAGATGAGGACAAATGGTGTTGATAAGCCACAGTTCTTGAGTCTCCCAATGGGGATATGTGGCAGCTGAATGTGGAGGAATACTTTTGTGGCTACTGTCACCATGGTCTTACCTCTCCCATTTTCAGCCTCTGCTATTGCTTATATTGGGAGACTGGGCAAAATTACTGAAGACAATACATTAAAATGAAGATGGTGGTAGGATTAATTAATTTTGTGTTGTATAATCACCAAATACTGGAATTATTTGCCTCATAAGAATGATTTTAGATATTTCAAGATTTCTTCTTTCTGCCAGTTAAAGGCTAATACTGATCCATAACAGACTGGAAATCCTTGTGCACTGTGTAGTAGTAAGAAAAATTATGTATGAGGATCATTTGCATTCTGTTAACCATATTAATTTAAATCCAAAATAAAGAAAAGATAGATACTATTAGTGACAGAATTGACTTTTGCTGTTGGTCACAAAACCCTGAGGTTCCCTGTCATATTGAATTATAGCCTGCAGTAATTGGGATGATTGCAATGAAATGTATTTCTAATATGTTTCTAGTGATAAATAATAAAAAGTCAAACCTTTCCTTTCTATTTCCAGTGTCCCAGTAAAACATTTGGAGGTTTTGATTCCACCAAGGACCTTCCTGATGAAGTCATAACGTTTGCCAGGAGCCATCCAGCCATGTACAACCCAGTATTCCCCATCAACAACAGGCCAATCATGATCAAAACAGACGTGGATTACCAGTTCACGCAGATTGTAGTCGATCGAGTCGACGCCGAGGATGGGCAATACGATGTGATGTTCATTGGCACAGGTGAGAAGTCTGGAATTGACACTCCATGCTCCTCCAAGCATGATGTATACCTGTCAGGATTTGGGGCAGGAGTCACAACTGTGTGTGGGGAGATCTTTGTTACATGCACTCACTGTTGCAGGTTCAGGTCGTAGCCTGCACAGTTTACTTCATTAGGAGCTTTGCCAACTGGATGAAGATCAAACCACCTTCTTTTCAACTACTGCTATTAGAGATTTTTATTAGAAATATCTTGCCTTATTAATTGTAATTTGGCATTAAAAAGGAGGGTTTTGAGGTCCCCATTTTGACATGCAACATAAGTAGTATTAATGTGAAGGAGGGAAGTATCCAGGTATGGGCAATGTCTCGTGTGCCTTTCAAGTCCTTCAAGTATTACCTTAAGATGCTCAGCTCTTTAGCCAAAAGGCTGCATCATTTTACTAAAGATACATGGCACATACAAAGTGTTTTCAGAAGAACTGGTATTCAAATAGAAACATGATATCCTTTCCAAAGCATTTGTGGAATCAGACAGCTTGGGCATCTTATAGAAGTGGAAATATGCACTCAGAAAAGGCATTTTTTTTCCCAGAAAGATAATAATGAAGGGTAAGAGGGCCTAGAAATTAGCTGATGTACATTTTCTTAAGTTCAGTGACTTCAGAACTATGCTGATTAGTAGCTGGTGGATCTGTTTCTTCACCTTTGAAGATTTTCCATGAGTTGGCTGATGTTTCAGTGAAGTTGAATAAAAGTATTTTAAACTTCTACTGAACATAATTGCTAGTAATTAGACATTGGCATTATGAAACCAAAACAAAACAACCCAAAACCTTACTGGCTTTTTTTCAGGTATGGACCCCCCAAAAAAAATATCTGTCTGTCTTATAACAGTCCAATTTTTTATATGCTTTAAATACAGTTCTGGTGCTCTAGACCTGAGGTCAGATTTCCAAAGCAATAAAACTCAAGGTCTCTTTTATGTTGCTGCTTGAAATGTATTATGAGTAAACTGACCAAAGCAATAAAACTCAAGGTCTCTTTCATGTTGCTGCTTGAAATCTATTATGAGTAAACTGGGAGCTGATGAAGTTTTGTGTACCAAACACAGTGCAAGTATAACAATTCAGAACATTTACTGCAGAAAATGCAGCTCTGCAGAAAAGGTTCCAGCACTTTAAAGCTGTGAACTGAGTTATCAGATACCAGTGCTAGAGTATCTTCTTGCATAAAAGATTGAAAAGTATTTTCATGTGATTTTACACAACATATACATATATTTTCCATCACACATTAGAGACTTCAGTGCCATCTATAATTGTCAGTTTGGTGCCTTTCAGCAAGTCTTCTGTGACCTGATTCAGCCCAGAAAAAACTAAATTAATAGAAATTCTTCCCTTGGCTGTGCTGTGAGGGAAGAAGAGCTTCAGCATCCAGAGGATGATGCTGAACAAACATAAGGAACTGATTTGAATCTCTATCTTGAACACAAGAGGTGACATTTATCTCACCAAACTTGGCATTCAGACTAATAAAGATGCATTGACTTCTGCAAGGGAAAGTGATAAGCTCTTCCAGAGCTGGTCTTTCTTCAAGACTTCTATTGGAGTAAGATGAATAATAACACAGACATTCCAGTCTGTTTTCAGACAGTGCAGGAAGATTTGCTTAAACTTGGACTACAGTTTTTAGATAGTTACCATTCCATGACCAGCAGGTCAAAAGAAGTGATTCTTCCCCTCTGCTCTGCTCTAGTGAGACCCAACTAGAATACTGCACACAGTTCTGGTGTCCTCAACATGAGAAGGACATGGAACTGTAGGAGCAATTGCAGAGGAGGCCACAAAGTTGCTAAGGGCACTGGAGCATCTCCCTGTGAGGACAGGCTGAGGGAGTTGGGGCTGTTGAGCCTGGAGAAGAGAAGGTTGTGTGGAGACCTCAGAGCAACTTTTCAATCTCTGAAGGGCCTACAAGGAGCCAGAGAGGGACTCTGTGTTAGGAACTGCAGTGATAGGATAGGGGGTCATGGGTTCAAATTGAATTTAGGCATCCATCTTATTCCCTAAACCACTAATATTCAGATGTGTGGCAAGTGCTTGGGATTCCATCCAATGTTGGTGATAGCTGTGCCCAAGAACTGTAAGAAGATTATTGAATGATTATTCCTTGTATTGAAAGATTATTCCTTGCACTTGACATTTCAGCACCAAAATCCCACTTTTGGAGGTGCACAGGGTTATTATTTCTTGAAATATTACTTTTGTCCCTAGAAACTGTTCTTTTGCCAGCAGGAGGATACACCCTCATGGGACAAGAACAGGCACTACAACACCAATGCTTGGAGCACAAAAGATGCTCCATGCTCCTCTCAGCTCACTCTCCTTATTGTGGCCTTCAGAATAAGGAAAGGGCATCTTCCAGGGGAGGGTAAAGCTAAAGAGGCAGAACTGAGGCCTTGCCTGCCTTCTGCCAGAAAGCTGCACTGAGCTGGTGGGTCAAAGTCAGAGGAATCAGAAGCAGATACACAATCAGCATGTATTACATCTTCCCAAGCAAAGAGCTAACCAGGGAGCAGATTAGGGACTCTAGTCACAGTCCATTTTCCCACTTGATAATCTGAACCCATGACAAAGCCAGAATTATGCTCTCTGGGGTATGACTGGGATTTTCTCTGCAGGTCTGTCCCATCAGATTAGATCAATTTCTCTGTATTTTCCCACTGTTATTGCAGCAATCTACATTATTCCCATGCGCTGCTGAACTGCAACATGTTGAAGAAATCCCTTTTTTTTTTTCTTTTCCTTGAATAACTGATGATAATTGAAGACAACATAATTAATAGCCATCCAGTGTGGTCACATTTTCCTTTCCTGTGGGTGAAATCTTGAGCTGAGCAGTTTCTTTCCCACTGTGATTGTACCAGTGTGTTTCAGAATGAAAATAATATCCTATCTGCGTGCTTGAAAGTATATCAGAAAAAAACAGGATTTAAGATAGGCACTTAATGCATATCCTGAGTGTCTAATGCTTGGGATCCTTTGGCACAGTCAAAGTGCCTCTGTCAGTAAAGCAAATTAACAGCAGTAATCTTATCTGACCTAGCAGAGTCTATTGATCCTAAAGGAGATGCCTGATTCTGTTGGTGTGAAAGTGTTTGAAATCCTACTCTGCAAAACTTGATTTCATGCTCAGATAAAGCCCCACTTTGGTACCTGTGGCCTGACCAGAGTCACAGCAGTGATTAGCACAATATATCTTTGACCTCAGAGGTTTTCTGGAGATCAAGCAAATGTAATTGTTGCAGGATCCACTTAAAATCAGACCTTTTGTTATAAGTGTTATGGGGAACTAGTGT